CAAGCCAGATTCAGTTGCCAATGCTGATGCCCAAGATGCTGAGTCAGGCGCCCAGCCGCAGCGTCAGTATGATATATGTCAGAAATGCAAACAGATGGAAGTAAAGCGTGGCTCTGGACACAAAAGTAATTTTCTTGGTTGCAAGAGCTGCCTGCACAAATGTAAGTTACAGTCGCAACACACCGTACCCTACACACACCCACACACACACACGTTTCTTGTTATGCATTTTTCAGGGCATTTCTCGTGCATGTCCATCAGTTTTGATGTCCTCTCGGTTGCTCGCAAGAAGTACAAATGCCCCTCGTGCCGCAATTGCAGCATTTGTGGCGCCAAGGGAACAGACTTGGCCATTTGCTCAACTTGCGTTTATTCGTTTCATCGCGATTGCCATGATCCGCCATTGAGCGGCTCCGATCTCAGTGAGCGCCAGTGGCAATGTCACAGCTGTGAGCACGAACCGAACCACAACAATAACAACAACAACACTTCGGGTGGTGAGCATACTGGACGCAAATCGTATCCGGGACGCATGAAGCGTGCCCAGTCTGATCCCGCTGGTCAGGAGAAGCAGGCAAAACTCGTGAAGGAGTCAAAAGAAGAAACAAAACGCGCCACCAAAAAGAAAGAGAAAGCGGCAAAGCAAGAGGGAGAGGGAGAGCATAAGCAAAAGAAAGAGGCAAAGAAAAAGGAAAAGGAAGAGCTAGAGCTAGAGCCACAGTCAGAGCTCAAAGAAGAGGCCGATAAACGCTTGTCCACTGATGAATCAGACATGCCCATGGAGGCAGCTGCTGCTGTTGAGGAGCCTAAAGTAGAGACCAAGGAGGAGCCAGAGGTAATGCCAGCTGAAACCATGCCCGAGCCAATGGAGCAAGAAACTGAAACAGAAACTGAGCATAAAGCTGTGGCAGCAAAAGCTGCTGCTGCTGCTCCTGCTTCTCCACAGCTGGTGGAACAAATGCCGCTCGGCATGGACATGGATCCGCAGCCATTGGAAGCGGCAGCGGTGCCAAATGGCAGCGATGATTATGAGCCACCACCGCCACCGCTACTGGTACGATTACCTGCTGACGACGTACCGGTGACTTCGTCGAATCCCGTGAGCAACTGGACTACCGAACAGGTTACCGCATATGTGTCACGTTTCTATCCGGACGAGGCACAAGAACTCAATAGGCAGGACATGGATGGTGAAGCACTGTTGATGCTTACGCGCGAGGATTTGATAAGATATTTTGGCTTTAGTATTGGCCAAGCACTGCGCGTATTTCACGTCATACTTGGCCTACAAATGCGCAACAACATTGTATCGGTAGGCTGGTCATCCACTTAGTTTTTAGAAGCTTCCCTAAGGATACATTTACAGACTTAAGTTAGATATTTTTTTGTCTGTTGTTTTTCGAACCTTAACTGCAAAGTAACGCGAATACTCCGACGTCGAAAAAATCGTAGTAAACTAGAAACCATTAGTATGAGTTTTTATTTTTTAGTTTGAAAAAAAAGACACTCAAAATGTTTGTGATCGAAAACGAATTTCGAAACATAATTT